TCGAAAAGAGCTAAGGGAAAAATTAGTTCAGTTATCTGAATGTATAGTTTAATCCGAGAATTGGAGGGTACAAATGAAGACTTTATGTTAAGGCATGATCATTATGAGTCTGATTGATTAAATATTCATCTGTTTATACATCCTAAGTAACACTACTCTAAACTAAACTAATATATATACCTTTATATAGATCATGAAGGTAGCACAACTTGCAGATGCTAAAAATGGTCATTTATGAAACTGCCACAAGATAAGAAAAGTGGTCGACTATAATCTCGCAGTGCCAAGTCATGCAATACTAAGGTTTTTAAAACCAGCACAAAGTTTGTGTAAAAATGAACATGCGGGATTCAATATCAGGTATTGTGAGATAAATAGAGTATCTAAAGTTCAAGCTTCAATTTAAATGGATTGTAACATTGCTAGGTATAATATCATCTAAATACTTTTTGAATTTGTAATGGATATGCTTATTATAAAATAAGTCTAAAAATAATAATATACGGGAAAGTGTATGCAGACAATGGAAATATGAAAAGGTGGCATTGTTTTCAAAATAACATATTTACCGCTGAGATAATAATTAGTGTATCCGAATCAAGCTCGGTGGGGGTGGGGCGTAAGTAAGGTCCTAACTATGAGCCAATCTGGATTAGAAAGTGTCTTTGTGATGCCTTGAGAAAAAACCAGTGCGTAAACCGATCAATTTGTTAGGTAGATTAAGTACCGCAAGAGATTTTAAAAGAACAAGTTTGTCTACCTGGACCTCTTTCTTTAAAAAAATTAAAATAAAAATAAAAGGAGAGAATAAACAAGAGTAAAAACTCATTAGTAATCACCATCGGGCCAAGCCAGCCATCGGAACTATCGAGACGATAGTAATTTGTAGAAGCAAAGTCAATAAGTGGTGACATCGGACCTAGTTTACAAGCTGCTTGCGCGCAAGTACGGATGCGAGACGAGAGTTGAGAGGCTTGAGCTTCTGCGAAAAGATTAAGACAATCAGTCTGCGTTATAAAAGGGTCCAATGGCTCATCGGCGACCAATGTAAAATCATGCTGCTGCGTAAACTGAAC